CCTGAGGATTTCCCTTGGTCAGGGCTTTTCAGCATTAGTTAATGAGATTAACTAATTCACATGCCCTACTGCCTTGGAAGGCAGGGGAATAATATCAAGCATGTTGTACATAGGATGGCCATCACAGAGGACATTCTGGTTTGCTCTACTCTGTCCTCTGTCCTCTATTGATATGAAGCCCAACACCTATATGTCCTCTATTTTCCTCTTCAAGAGAAAAACAGAGGACGTAAAGGCACTGGTTTTGTATCAGTAGAGGACAGAGGACAACCGGACTGTCCTCTATGATGGCCACCAGGGGACCTGAGGAATAAAACATGAAATAATTGGCTCAAAGCCTGCTAGCGAGTCAATGGCAGAGCTGGGGACAGATCCAGCTCTCCTTATCCCCAGAGGCCATGGCCTTCTTTCTTTTCCAGAAAACAGTAGGTAGTAGAAAGCAGTCATATATAAGATCATAAGGGGTAGAAAAGCCCTATATGGTCATAGATGCTACACCGCTCTCCTCCCAAATCAAGGCATGACAGGACCTGTGGGCACACATATTGGGAGCCTATTGGGAAAACACCCACTAGGAAGTAACTGTGATGGGACAAAGTTGTCACTACTTCCTTTCTGCCAGTGATAAGCATAAGGTGCTGGCACAGTCCACAATATGGGTGATGCTGGCTGGGAAGGAACCATGACAGGGCAATGGAGAAAGGTGGCATTTTAGAGCATTTGTTTAACAATATCATCAGCACTCCCTCAGTATGAACCTCCCTGCCCCTGGGGAGCCAACACTGGTGTCTTTGGCTCTCTGCTAACCTTTAAGGAAACGTAAGAATGCTCCTTTCTGTTTGCTGTGAGCCCTTCAAGCAAAGGTCGGCAGCCGTTCACAAAGGGTGAGATGAAATTGTGTAGCTCCATTCTAAAGCAGGCCACCACTTGCAACCTGGCCACTTCCCTTGCTGTTCCCCTGCTGCTGCATGCTACCAAGTGTAGCCTTGGGCCAGTGTTTCCCACACAATAGGCACTCTCAAGCCCCCCTTGCTGCAGCCTTTGCTCATCCCCATCTCTGAGTGCTGCCAATCATTATTGCAAGCTGCAACAGATGGTAGTGGATTTGGTGGGAAGAGAAACAGTAGGGCAGTGCAGACTCCCTGGGGATTTGCCATGTTTCCCACCCCCCTCCTGCTTCTGATCACTGCCATGGGTTGGATCAAACCTTTGCAGGCCGGGTCACATCTCTTTCCAGGCTGGATCCATCTGTAGAGTCTTTCCCCAGAGCCATGGGATGGCAACCATTCTGTGTTCCCTGGCCATTTCCCTGACTGAAAAGCAGGACCCACATCCCCCAAAATGGCTGCCTTCCCTGGGAGTTTCAGATGATGTGCCTTTAATTAAAATATCTGCAAAGACAATTTACAGTTTTTCCCCATGGAGAAAATTGCCTCTCGCCGGGTGAGCGCCTGCTGGCAGCACTGAGTGGCGAGAGCACACAGCTCCTTTCGCACTGTGCCAGAGAGGATGTGATGAGATTCCACAGCCCACAGGAGACCTGCAAATTGAAAACTCAACCTCCCAGTTGCATAGTGAGGTCACTACTGAGGGAGACTGAGACCAGAAACATTTTAAATATGCTCTTAAATATAGCTATGTGCTGAAATTTCCGTGCAGTCATCACAACACTCTCTTTCTCATGAGTTGGGCTTTAGTTGAGCTTATGCTGGCCAGTAGAGATCTGTATGGCCCCCAAAATGCTGAACTTTCACTTTAAAAGAAAAAAAATATGTGGCCCTTGCATTTGTGAAGTTTTCAGTCCCAACCTTGTTCCACTGCAGTGCTGTCTGCAGAGATGGAGCCTGCCACATAAACTCTTGGAGCTGGGGGAAGTGCCCATTTGTCTCAATAGGCTGTTAACTCTGAAGCCCAGCAAAGACAAGTGCAGTGTCAACATTATGATGGCTTTAGTAGGGATTTCCATTTACTTCATGGTGCATTACGCATGGTTGGTGGAGTTTTATGGTTATTCATGAGGCTTGGGCTAAGAGCCTCCTCCACATAGACCTGCCCCCTGTTCATCTCAATTAGAGACCTTAGACTCCCTGTGGCCTGTCTCTGTCAAGAAAGTGTTGTTGGACAGCTGGTGGCTGGAGCTACTACGTTCCCTGTCCTGGAGGGACATTTGCTGAGGACATTCCTGTAATTCAGTACCTGAGCACCTCGCTCTGCTCAGTGAGTTGTTCCCTGCATGAGTGGGTAGGGGCTCCACTGACCACTGGGCTCAGCTGGGAGTTACCATTAGTAGTTGAGGCACAATGAACACTAGCAGAGAATAAATGAGCTGATCTGTTTTGCATCCATGCTTTAGAAACTGGCAAGGATGTGAATGGAGACTAGGAGGGAGATATATGAAGCATTATCCTTATTATCCAATCCAGCTTTGGGAAGGAGACTGGATGCCCTGCTGCATTTGGCATCTCACCTCTGGGCTGTAAGCTACAGTTCCAGCCAGGGAATTAAAAGACTAACATATTGAGAGGGATGATTTTGCCTCTGGTTCTTTAATTCTAATGGCATTTTAGATGGAGAGTGACTCAGTGTCCCTCCTGTTTGGTAGCAGTTCAGTGGCATCTCTGAGGGGAGTTGGCACTCTGTATGGTGTTGTTTCACACAGTCTAGAAGCTGCAGAGACCAAATGTCTGGAAGCACCAGGGCCTGCTGAATTGCTTGCCATTGCAGTACCTGCGGCATTGGCAGTGTCCTTGTTCTCTCTGGACTGCTCTTCACCTGTGGCACACTGTAGGTAGAGGGGTTCTAGGTTTTACTGTGGCTGTGATGGGACAAATGGTTGCCAGATGGGACAATGAGTGAGACTGGTCCCTTTCCAGTCCCATGTTCCTATGGAACTTACCTTAGTAGGTATAGTGTGTTTGGGGACCCTACTCTAGCCAATACTATCCTTGAGCAGAGGGCTTCAGTCTCTTGAGTTGCCAGCATGACAGGGATGGTCCTGCTTTGAGCCAGGGGTTAGATTAGATGGCCTCTTGTGGTCCCTTCCAATCCTCATTTTTTATGATTCTGTGATTCTATGCCTAGTGAATTTCCCACATGTTGGGCTGTGTGGATGTGAACCTGACATACAAATGGTCCCTTTTGGTTATCTTCTTTTTAGTGCCTCCAACCATCAGTGTCCCTAAAGGCCAGTCCACCATCACTGTGCGGGAGGGCTCCCGGGCAGAGCTGCAGTGCGAGGTTCGAGGGAAGCCCAAGCCACCTATCATCTGGTCCCGGGTAGATAAGGAAGCTCCCATGCCCTCAGGCACCATGACGGAGGAGACATATGATGGGAAACTGCGTCTGGAGAGCGTGAGCCGGGAAATGAGCGGGACCTATAAGTGTCAGACAGCCAGGTACAATGGCTTTAACATCAGACCCCGGGAAGCCATGGTACAGCTCAACATACAGTGTGAGTATCCCAGCATGACTCTGTAGCTCTGTACCAGTAGGCCAGCATGCATCAGGCTTTGATAACACCTAAGTGGGTGATGTATATGCACTGCTTTCAGGCAGGATTGATATCCTTTACTGGAATGAGGGGGTTCTGTTTCATTCTGGGGATTCTGAAGGGTCTTCTTTACCTGTCATGTCCATGCATGAGGACAGCATAATTGAGACATGTCACATAGACAGCAATATATTCTGGGCAATGGTGGAGCCTGTTCTATTTGCTTACACTGCCTGTTGCTCCTCTGCAGTCTGGGTCACCTCAGTTCTTGCCACAGCATATGTGTGTGTGCATTACGCATGCACAAATACATTAAAAGCACATTACTAAAGCTGCAAAGTCAACCACTCAGACATTGGCAAATGACAACATTAAGGTTGCTTGTCTAACCCTCATTCAGTCCTCTGGTGCATACCCTTGATGATGCCCTTCTTAATCAAACAGTTGTATCCTGTTTCTTCTCCAGGACACCTGTCTCATTCAGTACACAGGGTGAATCTGCCCTGGGATGTACCAGCGGTATAGTGAAGGATCCTGCTTCATTTGTTGCAGAGGCTGGAAAGTGTATAGTGAGGGAGGCAGGAGACTGCGGGAAAAGAAAGGAAGGTGTCTTGGTTACAGCACTTGAATGTTGTCCTGGAAAATTGGATTCTGTCCCTGCCTATTAGTCTGTGGCATGCAATTAGTGACAGGTGGTCACCAATTGTGTGTTCCTTCTTGTCCAAATGCCTGACTTGAGAAGTTGTGGTCTGATGCGCAGAAATACTAAGCACTCACAGCTACAACTGAAATCAGGAGTTGTGTGCTTTAAATATAGAAAGTGCTATATAATACAGAGTACTGAGGTTCTAGACATGATAAATTAATGCAAACATTTTATTTTAGTTTACCTGTGCCTTGGTCCTCCACCTGTAAAATGGGGATAATAATATCTATGTATAATGTTGTGAATGAAAAATCATTAAAGTTTATGAAGCACTCAGAAGATTGCCTTGGAAAAGCCCACTGGGAAATTAAAAATTATGCCTCCATAGTGGAGTCTGAATAGTGTTCAGTAAAAAAAAAGGCATAGGTCATTCATTGAACAATGAGGAGAAAACAAAATAGCTGCTCATTAAGTGATTGCTATTCATTCTGAGCACTGAATGAGGTAGGGGTCCTGTGGAAAATAGTATGTGGATCTTGTAATTAAAGGCTGTTTCCTAATGCACATGGGTATTAGATTAATACTGCCCAGGCAAACTTTATTCTGGTATTTTCTAACTCGGCATTTATGATTGTGCAATATTAATAATATTGTTTTAGCATAGTTGTGTTTGTAATTTTATAGGGTTTTTTACAGTGCAAACTAATCCCCCTACCCCAAAATTTCATTGTGTGGCACCATATTGACACCCTCATGATTCATCAGCCAGATTTGAACCCGATCATACTTCTGCCAGTTGAACTGACAGAGTATCTGATAGCAGTAGCAGGCTGTTATCCATCATGTGACTGGTACAAGAGGAGAATGGAGTAGTTTTACGGACGTTGGTCATGTTTTGATGGATGTATGGGACAGCCAGGAGTACAGAGTGATCTGTGCCTTCCCCTTAAGAACCCTGCTGAGTAGTGGGCTGGAGGCAGCGCAGATAAGGAAAGCCTCGAAAGCACACGGGACTAAGGTGGCTTGGTTATTTCACCTCCCAGATGGAAACTGAAGCCCTTTGGATGATATTAATTGTGGTGGTAGAGCCTGAGGCCATCCTCGTAGCCCCCCTGACAAGGCTAATCCCATCAGGATAGCTTCAGTAGTGACCTCCTGTGAACACATAGAATCATAGAAAAGTAGGGCTGAAAGGGACTTCAGGGGATCATCTAGTCCAAGCCTCTGCTTAAAGGAGAATCATGCCTGTGTAAACCGTCCTAGACAAGGGTTCGTCTAACCTCACTTGAAAAACTTTGAACTACCCTCTCATACAGCTAGGAGGCACACTGCCTGAATCACCAAAATCCACTCTAACTTGTCACAGGTGAAGCAGAGGGATGAGGGCACTTTCAATATTCTGCTATAGCAAGGACAGGAAGTAATTGTTAAATACACTCAAGAAGTCCAAGAAAGAGGACCATGCTCCCTGCTACAGAGGAAGACCAACCCCCCACACACCATGCCAATCTGACCAAGGTTTACTGTAACTCCCTACCACTGATCTGGAAGTGAGGGGAGTGGGATTGGTAGGAAGGATGCTGATTTGCACCAGCCTGTACCACCCCCAGCCCCTGACTAATGAAACTACACGCACTGGATTGAGTAGTTCATTAGACACTAGCTATGCATTCCCCCACCCCTCCCTCTAGCTCTGCTTAGAAGGTGTGATGCTTAATCTGGTAACCTGGACAAAACTGACCAGACTTCAGTGTGACATATGGGAGACTGAGACTTTGAGATGTGCCAGGCACTATGCAGTCAGTTTGCCAGAGATGGTATCTTGTATTAGACCAGCTAGACAGTTGCAGAAAAAAAAATTCCCAGGCACTATGGGCACTTTGCCTCTTCCAAGAATATTATGTCAGCTTTATGGACTGTTATATGACTCTCTGTGGGGCAAAGGGACATCACAGCAATGAAACTGAGGAATGGGAGAGAATTCATCTAAATTTTCAAGTAGGTAAACAGGTCTGGGGAAGTCCCATCTACCCTGGGAGACATTGCACAATCTGGTTTGAAGTAGAAGAAAGAGCCTCCAAAAGATATGCAAATAAGGGATGTTAAACTTGTTTGAGCTGAATCCAGACTCACACCCAGAATTCTCAGCCTCTCAAGGAGCCCCACAGGCTGTATCTTTGACACCTATGATAGGTGACCAAGCTGAGCTGGGGGAGGGTGTCACTCTCATTTGACCAAAAACTGATATGAGACTGCAACATAGATCTCATTCTGGAACAAAGAACTAACTAATTTGGGTACCACCATGTGGACCTCTGGCAATAGCTGGTGAACCTAGCATATGTGTGGGCTGCTTATTGTTTTCTGATGTGTTTTCTTGGTAATGCTGTCGTCTTAAAATAAACAGTCCCCAGGCTTTGCAAAGGCTGGATGATCCCTAGTAAACTCTGTCATTACCCCTGACAGAGCAAGCAGGATGGCAGACTCTAAGCTACAGTGAGGCTTTCTGGGGTGGTTCACGATGACTTGCAAAGGTGCAGCCCTCTATCTTGGTTTGAGGGGGGCATGTGTCTTCACCCCAGGGAGGGTCTGGCTGCGGGCCTGTGACCACAGCAGGTGGTCTTTGAGGAAGCCATGCAGTGGGTGGAGGTACAGATAATATTGGACCAGTATCATCCTGCACACCTTCTGCTGCTGTTTTGCATCCTCAACAGCTCCACCTAAAGACAAGCAATATTGAATGGATTCTGGTCCCGCCCCAATAACGTACCCAAAGTCAGCATGAGCTATATGTGATCCCCTAAACTATCCCCCCCATCCTTTTCCCATCATGCTGCAGTCTCAGTAGAGAGTCCAAGTCCTGAATGGGCTCCTGGGACTGAAGTGACACCTGGACATTGGCGTGGAGGCAGCTGGCCCGTCCCTGTTCAGTGCATAAGCGGAAGCCTTCCCTCTCTGGGGCTTCTCCATCTGTCTTCTTTAACCAGCATGGAATTGACTAAGAAACAGAAGCAACCCCCTGCTGGAGTGCTCAGCGCCTTCCAGCTCCCTGCTGGAGAAAGAGATTGGAGAAGTAAGCAGTATGTTGGTTTAGCGAAGAGGGGTGGGTGGGAGAAGCCAGAATTGCCCCTTGGCCTTGCTCCATTTTCCGCGAGGTTGGTTTCTTAGTCTATTCCATGCCCCTCTCTGGGGCTTCTCCATCTGTCTCCTTTCACTACCATGGAACTGACTAAGAAACCAGCCTCTTGGAAAGTGGAGCAAGGCCAAGGGGCAATTCTGGCTTCCCCCCGCAACCTACCTCTCCCTACAAAACCAACATGTCCATTTCTCCATCCCCCTCTTCAGCGCTGGGCCCTCCAGCAGGGGGTTGCTTTGGTTAATTGAAATGCTGCTGTCTAGTATGGGCTGCTCATTAGTTTTGTAGCTTGCTCTGGAATTCTAATCTTGTTGGAAATGGGAATCGTGTGGCTTCTGAAGCCTCTGTGATAAGAGAGCTCCCCCCCGCCCAAGCCTGTTCCTTCTATCACGTCAGGGAGGGAAGGGGAGGGTGTGTGTGTGTGTGTGTGTGTGTGTGTGTGTGTG